GAGAGAGAGAGAGAGATCTCGCATTGAACATTTCAATGCTTCAAAAAGGCTAGGTGGTGCCTAGGTGGCCTAGGGGTCAGGCCGCCTAATGCCTAGATGGATGCCCAGGCGGGCACCTAAAACTTGGGCGGCTCAATAGAAAAAAGATGTTTATATAGTCTAACAGTATAAGTATAACAATGCTTAAGCGGACGCTCAGGAGGGCACCCAGAACATGGGCGGCCCAATAGAAAAAAAATGTTTATATAGTTTAAGGGTATAAGTATAATTGTATAACACATAAGAACTAGGGATTTAGGGCACATCAAATGTATAGTACACACGTCCCCATAGCACACACTCCTCCATACTCCATAACCATAAGTCCATAGCCAATTATTCATAGTCTGATAGTCCACACTCCACATATAGTTAAAACTTAAAACTTAGCAGTCAAATTACTAAAGTTACCAAACGAGTGAACAATCCATAATACACAACCAAGAGGAGGAAAACAAAATGAAAGAAATACTTGAAGACTCAAAAGTATCTTCAATCATCACTCATCATTCATCATTAGAAAAAGTAGGGTCAGCTGCTTCTGTATCTGTATCATATGCATCAGAGTCGATGCCATCATCATCGTAATCATTTCCCTCCTCAATATAATGGTTGTCCTCCTCTGTCTCTTCTGATTCTGTCTTTGCTTTCTCCTCTTCTTCTAGCCTCGTCCTCTGTGAAGAAGATCTAGTGGCCCTAGGGGGGTCGGCTTATGTCCCTGAGGCATCCATGACCCTGTCCCATGTCAATTCTTCATGCCCCTTGACCTGATCATCATCAACCATCCACCTCATAGCATTGTCCATATTTTTTGATTGGAGAGGGTCTCTGTTATTTCTCTTAGCAAACCTATCCTTCAAGAATTAATTATACTTGACATAGACTAGGTCATTGAGCTTCTTTAATTCAAGCCAGTTCTCTTTCTTTGTATGAATCTAACAAAATCAAATAAAACTAATTAATATAAATAATTAAATATATAATAATATTACTATAAACCTAATACTTACTAAAGTGCTAAATTACTAATACAAATTATATATTAATTATTAAGATATAGAATAAATAATAGAACTATAGAAATGAAACTTGATCACTTGAACTTGATGAACTTAAGAATATTATTACCTGGATCAATTGTGGTCTTTTGTTTCATTGCCATTGAACACCCAAAAGACTTTAATGCAAACTTGTAACTTATTAGCTCATCTGTGCATATAATATCTTGGATATCTAGATCAGGGACTAGCATATCTACACACTTATTAAATCCATTTATAATTGTGTCATTTGTGTGTATCCCTATCAACATAAAAAAAGGTGGGTTCAAACAATAACCAGTTGCATGCAATGGCCGATGTAGCTGCCTATCCCACTTCTCATCAATAATCTCCCAAATAGGCTTATAGCGGCTCTCATCATCATCTATGGGCTATCTCTCTCTTGCATCTCTCCATAGCCTCGTATAAGTAGCCCATAGAAGCCTTGTCACTATCAATCATGCGAAGGACTTTGACAAGAAAAAAAAATATCTTAAGAATGCCCTTCACCTCTCGCCAAAAAATATTAGAAAGGATAATATCTCTCACCTTCTTCTCAACCTGATCCTTATACCACTTGCATACTCTCTACTCATCTGAGGTAAACATCTGCCTCAATTGGACTCTCCTCGAATGTATGCTATCTAGGCATAAGTATCGGGTTGCAAATCTCATGATCCCAAGACTCATAATCTCTTTCTTCTTTGTAAATTTGCGCATCATGCTGAGCTTGAGAATGTGGCTATAAATGAAATTCGTAACTGACTTTGCCTTTTTCACTGCACCTAAAATTTCTCTCAAACTACCAATAGCCTCAAGCATGAGGTCTATACAATGTGCTGCACATGGAGTCCAAGAGATTCTAGGGTAAGATATGTGCAACAAATTTGCAGTAGCAGCATTATCTGTGACAATTTGTATAACATGCAGCTCCCCAACCTCCTTGATTCCCTTCTCTACAATTTGAAATATGTAATGGGCATCATGGCTATGATCAAAGGCATCAATAGACCTAAAAAAAATAGTCCCTAAAGAATAATTTACCAGCAAATTCATCCGTCTTCTTCTCTTCCTATCACTCCAAGCATCAATAATAATAGAAACTCCATATTGAGCCCATGCATCCTTTTGAATTTCAACAACTTCCCTCATGACGCTCACCGCTCTTTCAAAAGAAGCTCTGAAAACTCATATGGGATTGGGGGTTTCATCCTAGGCCCAAATTGGCTAATTGCTTCTATCAAGGTGTAGAAGCTGTTTAGGCGAGCGGTATTGAAAGGAATGCTTGCCTCATAAAACCATGTAGCAATATATTGTGCAGTTCTATCTCTCTCTTCCTTCTTAATTCTATTTTCAATGGTGGTTTGCTTCTTTGTTTTCTCTTCTGCAACCTCAGGGTCAGGCTGGGGCAAAAAAATCCATAGGGCCTCTAACCCGAGGCCTCTTAGGCCCTGAACTCCCAAAAGTAATTACTACTCCCTTTCCCTTCCCCCTAATCATGGATTGTTGTTGTTTTACTTCTACCTCTTGAAATCCCTCCTTGTCCTCATCATTGTCATCATCATCATAACTGACCCGAACCGTGATTTATAAATTGATAAATCTCGTGGGTAACTTGGTAGAGATTGATAAATCTCGTGGGTACCTTGAGGTGGGATTGCTACCCACTTAGTGATTTATAGATTGATAAATCTCGTAGGTAACTTGTTAGATATTATTGTACATGGATTCATCTCGAAAGTTTATTGAGGCTTTTTGGCTCTCACAATGTCACAGTCTTGAAACCCAAATCATAGGTATTTAACCTTGTACAAAATTGTAACATGATGCAAAAGGGCTCCAAGATCTTCTTTGGTAACATGGAATCGGTTCTTGGAGCTTCTTCCGCAACATACAATTTGTGAACGTATTTCATTCAAGATTTTCTTTTGAATCTTGATTCTGTGTCATTAGAACTTGATTCAATGTTGATTGCAACATTGTTTGGTGCATCAAAGAACTACACCTTTTGATTATGTGGAACTTACTTGCAAACAACATGGATTCGTGATTCCTAAAAACTTGGAATCAATATCTCACACACGTTTATTCGCATTGTTGTGCAACTATAAATCTTTGGTTTTGTGATATGGAATCAGGGAAAAGTGATTCCTATCTTCTAGATTCATGTCTCATCCTTGGAAGTGTGGAATCAGAATTCTGATCCCTTGGTACGCTATTCGGGTAACTATACTTGCAATCAAATCAATGTGGGGTGCAGTTGGCATACGGATGCATCCATAGGTGTAGAGGTAAAGTGCACCTTCAAATTTTATCATGGTATATAATTTTGATGTAAAATGTTCTTAGGATTATCTCAAAATCTATTTTTATATCTAATTATAAAATTTTAAATTCCAAAAATGGTTAAAATCAAGTTGATCTATAAACATATGAAAATCTTGAAAATGGACGGTGTAGATAATATGCTGTA